TGGAAGACTGAAAAGGAGAGTAGGGAGGGTAGAGAGGAAGCCACCTTCGCTAGCCTGGCGCTGGCAGTGGGCAATCTCCTCTCCTCCACACTGGACTGAGACAATTACAGAATCTGCCCTGGCCCAAGATGCAGGACCCTTTCACACTATGCAAGAAGAGCACAGAGCCTGAAACTGGTGTTGGCATCTGTGATGCTTGGAATGAACAATGTTTTCTGTAGGCCATGTATTTGAACACTTGGAACCAGTTGGAAGGGATCTTTGAGGAGATGATGGGACCTTTGGGTTGTCTTAGAATTTCTATTGCTGTGATAAACACCATGATCTTAAGCATCTTGAGGAAGAAGTTTATTTGCATTCACTTCTGCATCACAGTCCATCATGAAGGTACCTCAGGGCAGGAACTCAAGGCAGGAGCCTGGAGGCAGGAGGTGAGGAAGAGACCATGCAAGAGCACTGCTTACTGGTTTGCTCCTCATGGCTTGATCAGCTTGCTTGCTTATATAACTGGGGACTATATGTCCAGGGGTAGCACTGGCCTTCTGTGGGTGACCCCATCTATCATTAATCAAGACAACACTCCACGGACTTGCTTACAGGCCAATCTTATGGAGGCATTTTCTCACTTGAGGATTTCTTTTTGCCAGACTGACAGAATACTAGCCAGCACAGAGGTGGAGACTTGCTAAAGGAGGAGGGTAGCCCTAGGACACATATAACCTGGCTCAATTTCCTGTTCTTTCTCTCTGCTTCCCTGTGTGTTTGAAAATGTGACCAGTCAGCTATACATGCTATCATGCCTTCACCTCCTGTGGACTCTGACAACCCTGGAACTACACACTAAAACAAATCCTTTCTTCCCTAAGGTCCTGCTTTTGGTCATGGTATTTTATCATAGCAACAGAAAATTCACTAGTTCACTGTCTGTGGGGAAAGTCAGTCTCCCACACTTCAACTAATTATTCCTTTTTCTGAAGAGGACAGCTCACACTTGGGTATGTCAGTTTCAAATCCTCCTTGTGTCTTTCTATATGTTCATAACAGAATCCTATTTGGGACTTTCGTGGAGAAGGGCACACATTTAGTTTTCCACAAGTGACATCATCACTACGTTTAATGACTAGTTAGTGAGGCTCTCATTATGGAATGGTATTACATAGTCTGATTACACTGTGATTTATTTGACCATTTCTTTCTCTTTTTTTAGTTTTTTATTTTTTATACATTTGAATTACAAACAAGATTGAATTACATGACGATCCCAGTTCCCCCTCCCTTTCTCCTCTACCACCCTCCCCCAACTAAAATCCTACCCATCATATGTCCTTTCTTCTAATATACACCTGACTCAAAATTTCTGCCTCCTCATGACCTCTGCATCCTTCCTTTTCTTCCCTTCTCACTCTCATAGCTTCCTCCCCCCTCTTCCTGTGTTCTCAATTTGCTCAGGGGGGACCATTTCTTTCTTTTGATGACTTTATGAATGTTTCCTTTTTTCCCCACTATCGATAGCCAAAGCTGAAATCAGTATTTCTCTGTGTGCTGTTTTACATAATGCAGTGTGGTTCTTTCCTAGGAAGAAGATGGTGGTAGCATGTACAGTGTGGAGCATGCCCACAGGCATGATGGTAGTGTGTACGGTGTAGAGCATGCCCACTGAAATGATGGTAGCTTGTACAGTGTGGGGCATGCCCACTGACATGTTGGTAGCTTGTACAGTGTGGGGCATGCCCACTGAAATGATGGTAGCTTGTATAGTGTGGAGCATGCCCACTGACATGTTGGTAGCATGTACAGTGTGGAGCATGCCCACTGACATGATGGAAGCTTGTACAGTGTGGAGCATGCCCACTGACATGTTGGTAGCTTGTACGGTGTGGAGCATGCCCACTGAAATGATGGTAACATGTGTAGTGTGAAGCATGCCCACTGACATGTTGGTAGCATGTAAAGTGTAGAGCATGTCCTCTGACATAATGGTAGTGTGTATAGTATAGAGCATGCCCACTGACATGTTGGCAGCATGTGCAGTGTGGAGCATGCCCACTGACACCCACGGATAAATTGAACTATTTTATGAAACGTTAAGTTTTTGTGTTAACACGGGGTGTGACTGTTCCCTCATCTTCACCAGCATTTGCTAGCTTCAATCCTTCTCACTTCTGCCTGCCTTATAAGGGGAGCTTGATGCAATAGAGAAGTGAGTGAGCTTTGAAGTGGCTAATGATGGCTAGATGGAAAGGCTTCTCTGTTTCATTCTGGGGGAAATTGCCTATTCATTCCCTTTGCTCTTTCATTTCATTTTGTTAAGACATAGAGAAATGCAACTACAAATTGAAACTTCGCTGTTTGCATTATTTTTTAAACAGGATCCCAGGTTAGTCTTCAGCTTCTGATTTCACCAACTCTATCTCTCAAATGCTGGGACTCTAGGTAGATACCACCGACCCCTGTGAACAGTAAGAGATTTGTTAAACACAGATGTGATGACAAACACTCTTAAAGGGTCATCGAGATGGCTCAATGGATAAAGGCAACTGTTACCAAACTTGACAACCTGAGTTGAATCCCTGGGGCCACCAGGTCGAAGGAGAGAACTGATTCCTGTAAGTTGTCCTCCGACCTCCAAACACGTGCCATGGCACATGGGTGCCTCTTCCTGATGCCACTTGCAACACAAAATAAGTAAGCAAAATGTAATAAAAACCTAAAATAAAAAAAGACCCATAGTGCTTGTGTGGACAGATACCACTTAGTAAAGCCACACTAAAATTGCATATAAATTATTTTTCTCTTTACACACTTATTATTAGACATAGCCTCTGAGCTGAATGAAGAATATTTTAGTTGTTTCACATGAGGTGAGACCCAAGTTCACCTTTTTATAGCACTCGATATAAATTTTCAGGATCATTTACTGGCCAAGTACTCTTTTCCACCAGACCGTTGTTTATTTGCGTTATTTGCTTAAATGTTCTAACTTCCCTCTACCATCGATTCAAATGTTCTTTCCTCTACCATCGATTGATTGCAATGTTCTGCTGGTACCCTCCCTTTCTTATAAGGCATGCCTTTGTGTTTATATGGCGGAAAGGGCACACAGCTTCCTATTCCCACTGTGAACTTGATGCAGGTGTGACTTCCTGGTTCAGTAGAAGTTTGCCAGGAAGAAGCTGGATATGTAGGTAATTTAGGGTTGTTTTGGGAATATTGGGGTTCTCATAAATCCATCACTTTTCATAACTGTTGAGAATTTTGAATTCAAAGGGCTAAAGCTGGTGAGACTGAGCAATGAGTGGGCATGCTCCAGGAAGTGCACGCAAACGCTAGGATGAGCTGGAGGAGAGAGATGGTGGCAGGCAGGACTTGTGCTAGGCTATTTGTGTAAGTGGAGGGAGGAGAAGGTGATTCTCTGAGTCTTTATGTGAGAGGAACCAGTATGCCTGGGAGCTTCGGGGCTTTGGGGTGTAGTAAGCAGGCAGCTTCAGGAGGTAGGTCATAGTCTAGTCAGACCAATCATTCATGTTTGTTTAGTCACTGATTTGGCAATCAGCACTTGTTAATGTTGCTTAAGTATGAGCCATATAACTGTTAAGGTAGAGGCCTCACCTCAGCCCCATCTCTCTTTCCAGACCCCACCCCAGAGAAAGCCCACCAAGCAGAAGCTCTTCTCCAGGAGGTTATTTAAGGACTCCTCCTCAGGAGCAGCCTCGTGGTTTCCCCTCTTCCACTAGACAACCTAGGAATGCATTGCTCAGATTAAAACCTGGACTTGGCTTGATTGGCATATTGCATCAGCAGAATTATATACGACTGGGTTAGGGGATATTTTTTTATTATCAATAATGAGAAAGATGAAGGACATCTCAACTCAGGGTTTGCATTTAAAGAGAGACTAGATCTGGTAGCAATCCCACCACTCAGGTCACTCAGGTGGGATGGATGATGGGTAGTCTGAGGCCAGTGTGGGCTCATTCAAGGTTGACTTCAACTGCATGGGGGGAGATACTGCTTTCAAAAACAAACAGAAAAGATAATTGTGTGTGTATATGTGTGGCTAACGTCATCAAGGAAAACAAAGATCTTAGAATCTGGGGCAGACAAGGAGTGACAAAGTCAAGAGCCCCGAGCCCAGGAGAGGTGTCTTTTAGCCTGTGAGGGCAACTGAGAGGAAGTGAAGCAGCAGGAAGTGGGGAAGGCATGCAGAAAGGAACAACTTGTGCTGGGGAGCCTAAACTTGCCAGGTGAATGCTTTAGAGCCAAGCATTCTGATAAACTGTTTCCATGATGTGAAGTCAGGCCAGGTTGATGTTAGGTGATGGCTGTTCACTTGTGTGCCTATCTATTATTCAATTCATATGGTGTGAGATCATATGTGTGGATGTGTGTGTGTGATTGAGAGTATGTGCCTCATATGCTTGTGTGTGTGTGTATGTGTGTGTGTGTCAGTGTGAATGCTGTAAACATATACTAATATACCTTGTCTGTGTGTTTATGTGTGCTTTAACATGTGCATCGAAGTGATTTATGTATGCAAAGGTTCACAATTATGTATGTAAACACTTACATTTTTGTTTTTTTTTTCATTTTATGTGTGTGTTTTGCCTGCATATACCTCTGCACTTCATGAGTGCAGTACCCGCAGAGGCCAGAAGAAGGCATCAGACTTCCTGGGGCTGGAATTACAGATAGTGTAATATGGATGTTAGGAATGAAATCTGTGTGCTCTGAAGATCATGTGCCAGCATTTGTGTTCCTGAGAACACACCAGGCAGAGAAGATCACAAAGGGAAATGAGCTCACACTGGGGCCCTTTCCTGATAAGCTGGCAGGGACTTTAGCTTGCCAAGGGTCACAGAACAGACCCGTGTCACTGATGACATCACAGAATAAAGCCAGGATCCTAGTGACCATGTGGCCACTCAGGCTGGGGCTGGCTGGAGGGCTTCAGCACAGCCCACACCAGCTCTCACTGAGATTCTGGGTGCTGGTTTAAAGCCATGAAACGCCAACTCATGGAGCAGAGGGAAGAACAGACACCAATCAGTGGGACCACTATCAACATGGACAACCCAGAGTCCAAGGAGGAGAGCACGGGAGTGTGCTGGCCAGGTGGTCAATAAATGGGGAAGGGGCAGGTTGGTCTCTGATGCTGTTATCAAAGGGGTGTGTTGATCATACAAAGCAGATGTGGGAAGGGCCACAAAGAGAGTGATCTTCAGGGGAAGCTGGTAGTTCCTAAGCTGTTGTGCATCTATGGGAGTTAGTTCAGGAGCCATGTAGATGAGAATGTAACTGTTCACCTTTCTGTATTGATTTTAATGTGTTTGAAAAAATTATGCCAATCCTGTAAGTCCTGTGGTAATGTAAACATTCCTTTATAGTACCTAGATGCAAGCTAATCTAGAATGCCAACTCAATGATCACCAGGGTGTGTCTTCAGGCAGCACTTTAGGATAAAATCGGCTCTTGGAGCCAAGTGGCTCAGCCAAGCAGGCACATCCTCTTTGCCTCAGTTTCTTTATCTGCTGGGTAAAAATCCAAAGAGTGAAATTCTTTAGGCTTGCTTTGAACCTTAAAGGAATCAAAACATGGCAGACACTTGCATGGGGACAGGAACACAGTGTGTCCAAAGAGTGGATGGGAGGCCCTCTGGATGAGATCTGAGATAAGTCACAGAGGAGAAGCTGGGGCTTCACTGATTAACAGAAGCACAGCTCCATTCTTGATTTTAAGTGGGTTTTATGGACCATCTGATATCTGCATAAATTATTTGTACAGTGGAAAGAACTGTGACACTGTTCATTTGAGTGGCAGCCACAGCCAAAGCACAGGATAGAATCATGACCCCTAAAATTCCCCCATGGGACCTTTATGTCCTGTCCACTCCTCCAGCTCTTGGTAATTGCTGTGTCCCTATAGATTTGCTTTTTCTAGAATGTCTTCTAAGTGGAATCATGAAGTGGCTTCTTTCATTTAGCAGATACTTTATCTTTCATGTCTATTCTGCATACATTCCTAGTTCATTCATTTTATCCATAATATAATTGCATCTTGTGGTTGTACCACAATCTACTTTTTAGTCTACCAGCCACTGGCCTTTTACACATCAGTTGGTAAGGTTCACACACTCTTTTATCCTTGTGTCCCTATGAGGTAGCATTATGGTCATCTCTGATGAATAGCAGGCACTTTCCCCAAAGCCACCAGAGCCTTCATGATTCTGCTGTGACTTCTCATGATAGTTGTGAATTGAAGCCTTCTGAGAGCACTGATGAAACTGTCCTTCCACTTCTCAGGGACCATGAAGAAGAATGAGTCATCTCCACAGCCAGGGCCTGCCTTCCTCCCGGAGGACGACATGTACTTGGAAGCCCGGGCACATGGGATGCTGGGCTGGAGCAGCTCTCTATCATCTCAGTCGTCCTCAGAGTACCAGTCTTATTCTCAGTACCAGTCCTGGGCCTCCAGCAGGAGCGAAGAGCAGCAGGATGCCCCACCCGAGAGTGTGTGTGCCCTGTACACCCACGTGCAGACCGTGCGTGGTGTGGCAGTGGCTTGGGAGACCGATGATGGCTTTGAGCCAGTCACCAGGAAGCCCCTTATCCGCGAGGCTGAGTTCATCAAGCGACAGCGGCTGAAAGGCTCCTCCTTCGAGATGGCCTCCAAAACAGACCTGCGCTGGGAGCTGGAAGCCTGCCAGCACTACTGCCCACAGGCTGAGGACAATGTGGACTGCTGCTTGCAAGAGCTGCGAGCACCACCAGACTGGCTGGTCACCACCAACCATGGCCTGCGCTGCGTGGCCTGCTGCAGAGTCTTCCCCACGCTGGAGGCGCTGCTGGACCACGCCCAGCATGGCATCCGTGATGGCTTCAGCTGCCAGATATTCTTCGAGGAGATGCTGGAAAGGAAACGGGCCCGGGATCAAATGCAGGACCAACAGCCTGTAGAGGAGGAACAGAGCCCTTCAGATAATAGTGAATGTTTCAAGTCCTGCGCCAAGGTGCCTTCCCAGCAGCAACAGCCCGAGCAGCAGCTGCAGCAGCCACAGCCGCCACAGCAGCCACAGCAGCAGCAACAGCCACAGCCGCCACCGCAGCAGCAGCAACAGCCACAAGCACAGCAGCAGCAGCCACAGAAACAGCCACAGCAGCAGAAGTCACAGCAGCAGCTGCAGGAGCAGAAGCAGCAGCAGCAAACACAGCATCCACAGGGGAAGTAGAGATCGGAGGTGAGGTGCCCACCGTCCCTCCAGCATCATGGCTGGGTGGCTTTTTCACACAA